ATTATCCGCGTACAAGATCCACATGATGTCGTCAACAACCAAGTTTAAAAGAAAGAAATAGATCGCATCATGTCGCTGAGAATCCTCCTCCTGTTTTCCACTTCCTTTATTATAGACGGCGTTTAAATTTAACCTAAACCTCCGTTCCTGTCAGCACATCTCCACTATGGCTGCCTCTTCTACAGCCACAATTGGCTCCTACGAGCTGACGTCTCGCGCAATCAACGAGCCCCCTGCCGCTGCGGTCCGTGAGGGATCGGGTATTTTTGACGAAACTCGGAGGCTTGGCTCTCGCTACGGTGAAGATTACTCAGACGGTGGTGTTGAGAGCGTCGCGGCACAGAATGCTTCCGCGGAGGTTGCTGAGAGCTGGAAATATCCCCGCCAGAATGTTTTCAGGACCGGAGCGGCGTTTTGGAGTCTTTTGACCTCCGGGGCTAATGATGCTGCATACGGTGTACGATCCCTGTGAAATCCCCTGCTTGATACAATTTCTGACATTAAATGACAGGCCTTGATCCCATACGTACGTAAACTGGCTCCCCGAGACCTGAGTTACTAACAGATCGCAGCTAGAAGAATATTACAACTTGAGTTACATTATAGTGTCTCTTGTTTTCCTCTCGCCCTTTGTCGGTTATATCTTAGCAGCAGTACTGAATAATACACTGCATCGGCGGATTGGACAGCGAGGAATTGGTATTACTTGCGGAATTTGTCATATTCTCGCCTACATAATCATTGCCGTTCACCCTCCGTACCCAGTCTTGGTTCTTGCGTACTGTCTCGCTGGTTTCGGAAACGGAATCAGTGATGCTGCTTGGAATGCCTGGATTGGCAATCTTGATAGGGCCAATGAGACTCTTGGCTTCCTTCATGCCTTTTACGGCGTTGGAGGAGTCATCAGTCCTCTTATCGCAACTAACATGATCGCAAAGGCTAACTTGCCTTGGTATACGTTCTACTATGTTATGGTGAGTCACACATATGGGTATGTTCTTAAAGGCCCAGTATTAACTGCTGTGCTTAGATCGGGTTGGCCACTATCGAATTTGTTACTTGCACCTGGGCATTCTGGCCCAATGGCCCAGAAGTCTACCGTCAAACCATGGACGCCAGCAACGAGGACAACCAGGGCATGAAGGAAGCCTTGTTTAAGCTTCCTTTCGCTCGTGTGACTTGGCTTTGTGCCGCATTCCTCCTCTGCTACGTTGGCGTTGAGGTTTCTGTCGGTGGCTGGATCGTCCAGTTCATGATTCGCGTGCGAAAGGCTGAGAACTACCCAGCCGGTATGACCTCCATGGGCTTCTGGTTGGGTCTCGCCGTTGGACGTGCTATTCTAGGGTTCGTGACTCCACTACTTGGTGTCAAAATTGCAGTGTCTCTATATTTGCCTACCGCTATAACACTGCAGCTAATCTTCTGGCTGGTTCCGAGCTTTTATGTCTCAGCAGTAACAGTAGCACTCCAGGGATTCTTTCTTGGTCCATTATTCCCTGCAGTAGTCGTTGCTACTACGAAGATGTTGCCCAAGCACTTGCATGTCAGTACTATTGGTTTCGCAGCTGCTTTTGGTGGTAGTGGTGCCGCAATTCTTCCTTTTGCCGTGGGTGCTATTGCCCAAGCCAAGGGAGTCAAGACTCTCCAGCCGATTATCCTGGCTTTCTTGACTGCATTGCTAGGACTTTGGCTATGTCTCCCAAGAATTGGCAAGAAAAGGGATTAAGGATCAGATACAGTCAATCATTGTATCGCTTTCTTGTCAAAGCCAGGTCAAACATAGTTCAGCTCCCCAATAGACTTAGACTTAAGCTCAACGATAGAACGATGCCCTATGCAAAGTAAATTGTTTCTCCGCAGAGTAGTCAAGTAATGTGAAGTCTTAAAGAACCACGATCCCCAGCCAGCCTGTGCGTCTTTGGAAGCCAGGGGGACTCAACCCTTCAAAGCCATACCCTAGGTGTTATCATTAAGTCCCAAGTATCTCAGCATTGTGTTACAATGACTACAGCCGATTCCCAAGCGGCGACCCAATGCTCTCATAAGGTCTGATCGATCATGGGCTAGTTGCTGTAGATCCTGCGAGTGTGCCATCTGCTAGCCTCGCATGGACGAAGCGCCAACAACCACCACTCTCCAGGGGAAACAGGTAACAAAAAGACGAGTCCTCGACTTGTAACTTGGTGCTTGATAATAGCTTGGCTTAAGTCGTTGGATATAGTAAAGAAACCTCTGGCAATTCCTTAGATCCGCAGTAGAGCTGCTGGGGTCGGCATGTCTATAGGCACCCGGTTCTGGCCGCACTGATATCCCCAGGATCTAGTTTCTGGCCTGATGGTCTAGCGGTATGATTCTTGCTTCGGGAGTGACATCTCAGTTCTGTTTATAAAGAACTATAGTTTGCGAGAGGTCCCGGGTTCAATCCCCGGTCAGGCCCTGTTTTTGCTGGTTGGGCTGCCTGGTCTTCTTTTTGATGATTGGGATACCATTCAGAAGACGGTTTAAGATGGCTTCGTAATGCCCTTGGGGTGCACACGACGAGCTTGGTTGTTGAGACTTGTATAATTTAACTTCCCGCTGCGAGCGAGAACGCTCTTCTTTGTCAGTATTGATGAGGAAATAGATATTTGTTTAATCATGTAAACTCATTGAAGATAGAAGCTGATGAGAAGAATGAACTTAGGAGTACAATAGTTGCTCAGAGAATAACATAGTTTCTATCCATTATTAATATATGTTACAGAGTATAATCTAGGGAGCCTCAGTATCCTATTATAGTCCGTCTTTGAATTCTTAGAAATCTCGAAGAGCCTGAAGCACTATCCATTTAGAGTCCAAAACCAGAAGTGTCAATATCCACTGTCTTGTCCTCCTTTAATGCCTCTTTCACAGCCTGGCAGACAACAAGTGCAGCCAGACCATCTCTTGGTGTACAACTCGGAGTCGCCTCACCACGAATAACCTTGATGAAGTGATCTAACTGTAGCTCGAAAGGCACACCATCGGGAACAGGGACGTTCTTCTGAACAAGCTCCTGGTGCCATGACTTCTGACCTTCAACATAGGAAGACAAAATCATATCTGGCACACTCAATGATGCGTTGGTGCCAAAGATACGATAAAAGTCCTTTCCAGTCTTAGGAATCAGAGGGTTCTCTCCAGTACCGGACTCAAAGTTATGCGGTGACGGAACATTGTCTGAGAACAGGAAGCTTCCGACGGCACCGGACTTGAATCGAAGTGTCAGAACTGCACCCTCTTCAGCCTCAAACCCACGCTGTGATATAGTCTTCTCTGCATGAACCCGTGTAATGGGACCAAAGAGATAGTGCAACAGATCGATCTCATGGACGAGATTGATGAGAACAACACCGCCCGTATTCTCTCTTCGCCATTCCCGTGGAGGGTCAAAGTATTCCATTGGTTTATAAGTCGCCCAAATTCCATTCACTGCAATGATTTTCCCAAGAGAACCAGAACCCACAGTTTCTTTTGCAGTCATCATATAGGGATTGAATCGTCGATGATGAGCGACCAAAGCCTTGACGTTTAATTTATCGAGATGATCAACCAAATCCTTTCCACTCTCAATATCTGTACAGAAAGGCTTTTCAATGAGGATGTGAATACCCGCCGAGGATAACTCGCGAGCCAGAGGGACGTGTGTGTGATTGGGAGTGCAGATAATGGCTGCTTGAGGCTTAGTCGACGATTGTAGCATATCGGCCACGGATTTGAAGTAGGCAGCTCCAAGCTCTTGAGCTAATTGCTCGCCATTTGGCATGAGATCGACAACAGCTACCAGCTTTGCTTGGCTGTTTTTGATCACAGTCTGGGCGTGACGAGGCCCAATCAAGCCGACACCAATGATGGCAAATGTGATGGGCTCGGAAGACATGTTGAATCAAAGTGAGCCGTGCTCTCTGATGATCACAAACAATGTGGACTTCTAGACAATTTATACCTTGATATCGGCTCCTTGTGACTCATGTTTACCGCCAAAATGTTTACCCCAGACCCGTTGAAATGACCCACGCGGGGTATGGGGAAATGGTAATTGAGGCCAACGGCGCGATGGATTTAGTATCGCGTTAAACATTTTACCGTCCCAAAAATGATCTGATAACTGATAGTTAACTTAGTACCTACTAGGTAATTTAAGAGACTTAGTACCTAGCTAGGTACTACGGAGTACTGGAAAGCTATCACATGCTCCAAATTGGGCTGTCAAACACTATTGCGACAACACAGAGACCAGACATTATGAGTGGGTGAGTGAGGGTGAGGATGAGGATAAGGATGGATTAAGGTTAAATGAGTGAATGGGAATATCTGTAGTGATGTTAATGATGATTGATTTTAGGTGACCTACTCCCCATTTACGATCCCTAGCACTTCTGATGCCCCGTCTTCGGCGGCGGTCCGGTCAAGTACCTCGGAGTCAAAAGGCGCTCCCGAGGGCGCAAGAAAATGTCCAATTTTTAACTATCAAGGTGCTAAAGAAATAAGGTTAGCGATTCACCGAGTTTACATCAAACTTACGGAGTACTTGGTTTCCTTTTTTCTACCTACCAAGTCCAAGAAATCCTTCACTTTCTTTTAACCTCCTTAGGGGCGTTTGCCGAGATGTGTTGGGCTGGAATATTGTTTGACCGTTCAACCATAAAGGCCCCTATTCCAAAAATATAAGCGTCAAAACCAAGTACCCAGCAACACGGTTAAGTCGAAGAGACTCATATGACAGTCCCATCCCCAAGATGCCTCACGATGAAAGCCTTTCCGGCAGATATCGACAAGCGAGGGACTCCTACCCTTTTCCGTTGAAGAACACACCAGCAGAAGTAGTTGAAGCTGAGTCAAAGAGAAGGGGGAGAATCATTTTTCAAAACTATGAAATCCTTGGAAAAATTCTCGAACGGCACGAAGAGAGCATACAAAAACGATGGCTTAAGAAAAGCAGAAAGCAGCGGCTCCAGATTCTTCTTAGTGCATGGCCAGACATGCCACCAACCCATCGGCCTTTTTACGACTTTTGGCGACAATTAGAGACGGACCCCGAGGTCAAGGTCAAGCATCATAGTTCAATACTGTGGCCTTTCATCAACAAGGACTCCCTTGGGAAGCCTACGCCGCTCCTCTTGCTTCTTAATTCCAGAGGCCGTCAACCGCCCCCTTTCTTCCTTGACGCGGATGCACAAAACGTCCATAGAGCAGTATTGACCGACGTGCTAGTAGATGGCCCGCCGTTCCCCACGGACCGCATGCAATTGATCCTCCGGGGCATCTCCTCTGGTGACGTCTATGGAACTCTGAGAGAAGTTCCAAACGTTGACCGGGGAACCTGGCTTCATTTGTCAACCAAAGACTACGACTGGCCTACATCTGACATATATGGCAAGAAGTGGCTTGTAAATCAATTCGGGGCTCCAGCCGGCATGGTGATTCTAGAGATACAGGAGCGCTTAATGGACTTCCTTGTCAAATGTTGCCATCAAATTCTTCATGATATTGAGCCGGAAAATCTGTTCAGCGATGTTTACCCTGTTCAGCCTGAGCCGGAACTCCCCGCGAATACTCAGACTCAGGGGATACAAACGTCCCTGCTCGAGATAACTGTCGAAGCCCCCTACCGTGTACTAACTCGGCTTGACTTTGCCAACCTTGAGAAGTTGTTTGCGGCCAAAGCCAGGGCTGCAGAGGATCACATTTGGGCGATGCGCGAGGATCCCAATTACTTTGTGGAACAAATCAGTGATATGCACGATCATATGCAACTCATAGGCTTCAGAAGAAAACACACAAGCACATGGGGAGCAGCCATTGCCGACGTTTTGACTAACGCGTACACATTGGTCGAGATCTTCACAGAAATCCATCGAATTACCAAATGCCTGCGAGAAATGCAGGAGAAGTACGCGAGCGTCATATCACCTACAGAGAAATTGCCAGTTGATTACAACAACCAGATTCGCCACTTTCTCTCTTTCGTACTGACTAGTAGAGAGGTGTTCCTAGAGAAACTAGAGTTTTTGGTCAAGCGTTCTCCCCGGTTACGAGCCGCTGTCGCTCTCTCGCACAATCACCCTGAGACTCGGGAGAGACCCCTGACCCTCAACGAGAACTTTTTAGTCGAGTGGGTAATCTGGCAAATATATGGTGCGAGGGGCAGACTGGATTGTGAGAGTGTCGTTCCTGATATCTATGTTATGAACCTGGCCATAAACGACCTGGAATTGCAGGTGGTAAGGGACAAGGCAATTCTAGACTTACTATCACCGACTGCCCGAGCCATGCTTGGTGACTTCGCGATAATCATCCAGACTTTGCATGCGCTCGAGCGTTTCGAGCCGTGGAACCGAGGTTTCGGTGTTAGCCCTGGCGATCATTCCATGGATTGGTCGAAAGACATCATCGGAAACAAGATTGACATTTGGGGAGAGTTCAAAGAAGCTATCCAAATAGAGCCAGCGCCGGACCTCATTCAGTTTTGCGAGCCTGACCTGGGGAAGTTCACCTATCCTGTATACCGACGCAAGAACAAGGAAAATGTTGAGATGATGCGGCGAGCGGAGTGGAACCTAGATGCTTTCTGGGCCAGAGCAGATCGGTATCTCTACGAAAGAACGGAGGACATGGATGAAAGTATCCTGACAGGACTGCTCAAAAGCCCTCGTGCCCTGCACCGGACACCTGAATGGGTTGAGCCCACGAAAGAGAAGAGGAAAGTGCTCGACATTGAGCAACCCATGTCGACCTTTTTCTTTGGGTTGTCCAGTGACGATAGAGACACTAAGGCGTCAGGTCGTCTTTCAGTGAAGCCAGACAAGGCGAAACTCAAGACAAAAGGAACTTCAACCAAATCAACTGAAGTCGATGAAGCCCCAGCTGAAGCGATGACCCAAGTTACGCTCGAGGATCCAAAGCCGATATTCAAGGTTGACCGACGAGCACTCAAGACATTTCGCATTCTCTTTTATGACCCAGATGTTACTTCTACCCCCGGTGAAGTTCCATGGAACGACTTTTTGCATGCGTTGACTTCAGTTGGGCTTGCTGCCGAGAAGCTATATGGGTCTGTATGGCAATTCTCGCCATCTACTCTGGAGGCTAATGCGAGTATACACTTTCACGAACCTCACCCACATAATAAGGTGCCCTTTGTTATTGCTAGGCGCCATGGACGGAGACTTTACCGAACTTATGGGTGGATTGGGGAGCAATTTGTACTCGACAAGTAAGATTATGGGGGCTGAATTATTAGATAGAACATGAGATAAGTATTGTGTTGAGGTCGAACATGGATTAGATGCGATGAGGGTTAACTGAAGGGATGCAGTGGCAGGACGGACTAGTCTCAAATACTTTATTTAATAAACGAAAGAGCTGCTGACTTCCATGATTATGAGTGACCCAAGAGGCTCGGGGCAATATGAGTGAAGAGCCAAGGTCTTGCATTTTTGCGCACCTTTGGAACCTGCGACAACCAAGTGAGACGGTGATGGCCTACTGGGGTAAACCTTCCAAACTCGGATACTACTTCAAGTTCACTCCGTATATCGGAAGCGACGGTAATTAATTGCTTTGAAGTTGATTGGATCGAGATTTCAGGGTCTCATACTGGAGTGCCAGGGCCTCGATGGTGTAAGAGCGTGGGGCACAAGCGTGATTGAGACTAACAAAGACGCAATATGGTGAAAGAGGAACGGGAGTTGCGACAGCGAATGGCCATGCAGAATGATTAGATTACGACATGATGTAACAGAAGAGCTAGCTAACGTGCTCATGGGCAAGATGCGATAAGGATAGAAGAATAGCTCAAGGTATTGAGTATCCCAGTCCTGTCGCCTGAAGAGGTTCATCGGTAATTGAACATTCACCATCATTCCCGAGCACCATATTCCCATCAATTAACGATGGCGACCGCAGCAGTAATTAACGGCGCAATCAATGACTTCAATAATAGAGACTCAGACTTACCGAGCGTCGCTGTAGAGAGTGCACCGGCTGAGAAGTCAACCCCAATTACCCAGACCAAGGACCTCGCGCCAACAACCGTACGAAATGGACCAAACGTAGACAAGACATCGCCTTATTACAACCCTCGCTTGAAATTGGTCGACAGATTCGTTGACGAGCCACGTCCGCTAAGAGTTGGTGTCATTGGCGCTGGCCTGGCTGGAATCACAGCAGGCATTCTTCTACCAGCCAAAGTCCCTGGCATCAAGCTTACCATCTACGAAAAGAATGCCGATGTGGTACGTCAAATCATCAGATTTCTTGAATGTTGGTAGAACTGACAAATCTGTAGGCAGGAACATGGTTTGAGAACGTTTACCCCGGTGTAAGATGCGATATTGCGTCGCACGTCTACCAAAGCACATTCGCGCCCAAGACAGACTGGTCGGACAAGTACGCACCCGGCCACGAGATCCGTGAATACTGGCAATCGGTCGCGCGAAAGTTTGACGTCTACAAATATGTCAAGCTCAATACCAAAGTCGAGGGTACAACCTGGGACGATGAAGAGGGTGTCTGGATCACGAAGCTACGGAACGTGAAGACGGGCGAAGAGACGGTCGAGAAGAACGAGTTCATCTTGACCAGTATTGGACGATTCAATGACTGGAAACTACCCGATTATCCCGGAATATCGGAGTATAAAGGACATCTTCGCCATGCCTCCAATTGGAGCACGGATTTTGATCCCAAGGACAAGACGGTCGCTGTCATTGGCAATGGAGCGAGCGGTATCCAAGTCACCGCGAACCTGCAACCAATTGTCAAGCGACTTGATCATTATGCTCGTAACAAGACATGGATTGCGGCATCTTGGGCTGGTGAAGAGCGAAAGATTGAGGCCCAGCCATATACTGAAGAGGAGAAGAAGAAATGGGCAGAAGACCCTGACGCATACTTGGCCTTCCGAAAGGACCTCGAGAGCTTATACTGGACACGATTTGACTCGTTCTTCCGGAACAGCGAGTCGAATCAGAAGCTCCGCGAAGCGTTCATCGACATCATGAAGAAGCGACTGGTGAAGAAGCCAGAGCTACTTGAGCACATCGTACCAGACTTCTCGCCGAATTGTCGACGTCTGACACCGGGGCCGGGATATCTCGAGGCCATTACAGAGGATAACGTGGAGTACATCCGTACTCGAATTAAGCGCTTTACGGAGACGGGAATCGAGACTGAGGATGGCAAGCAGAGAGATGTCGATGCTGTCATTTGCGCGACCGGCGCAAACGTTGACATGGTTCCAGCATTCCCCATTCGCGCTCATGGACAGGAGCTCAGCAATCTGTGGAAGGCTGATGGAACATATGGATATCCTTACACATACTTTGGACTTGGAACACCTGGTTTCCCCAACCTTCTCTTCGTCCATGGACCGCAAGCAACAGGGCCATCGGGAACAGTCCCTCACAGCGTCGAGACTCAATTGACATACTTCGCCAAGGTCCTGCGCAAGGTCTCGCATCAGGGCATTAAGTCTCTGAGCCCCTCTAAACAAGCAGCCGACGACTTTGTGGAGTACTCAGATGCCTTTTTCGCAAAGACAGTTCTTACAGATAAATGTAGTTCATGGTACAATGGCGGTAGGCCTGGTGCTAGAATTCACGGGCTCTGGCCAGGAAGCGCAGGGCATATCACATTTGTGCGACAAGAGCCTAGATGGGAAGATTGGGAGTACAAGTATATCGGCGACTCTAAGAACCGCTTTGCGCATTACTTGGGCAATGGATGGACCAAGAGAGAGACGGACACAGAGGCTGACCAAACGCCGTATCTTCAAAGGCCAGATAAGATCGATTTGCGGGATATTCACGAGAAGTGGTGGAGTATTCCATAGAGAGTTAGTCTAGTAGATTCGACAATGCATAAAGTGAAGATGAGCTTTTGGGCGAGATCTCGTCATGACATGGTCCCACGCACGTAATCGCGCGACTCGCCCGCACCTCCACGTGGAGAGCCCGTCCAATCTATCACGACTGCACTAAAGCATCGGAGCCGCTAAACATCCTTGCATTAGCTTCGTTAATGGGGCCATCTTTCTCGGGGAGTTGATCTCAGATCCTGCCTCCACGCACGCAGACTGATACTCGAGGCGTAACCGAGGACAAGCCAAAGGACGAGACTCTGCTAGCGAGCAAAACATTTCGAGTCTCGAACCGGATACATACCGAGACTCTGGTAAACGTAATGCCGCCACAGATATACGTTTTGCGCTAGAAGATTTAATGCCCAAAGGGCTGGGACTTCGGCAGTTGAGCTGTAGGTGCGGTCAAGGATTGGATTGCGTGCTGGTGCTATCGCTTTGGGCGGTGGTTTCATGATGGGAAGGGAAATATAAATGTTGATCTCGTACCTACTTCTACAGAACATATCACAGCCGTGTCTCGCTAACAATTCTGATAGCTATCAAGCTTTCTCTTCTGTCTCAACTTTCTCCAGTTCATACAGCATCATTCAGACAAGATAAGATGACGGTGGTGGAAAATCGACATGCGGACAGTGAGGTCGCTGCTCCTCCCAAGGATCAGCTTCTTCCTGGTAAGAATTCACTCCCGATATGCACGTCGTCTACTAACACTGCCCAGTCAAGTGGTATCGCTCCACATTCTTCAACATCACGGTTCTTGGCTTGTGTAACTTGTCTGCTCCGGGTATCTGGGTAGCCATGAACTCGCTTGGTGCCGGTGGTGCAGCCTCGCCTAAGCTCATCAACGCTGCCAATGCCTTGACATTCTGTCTCATGGTTGTGTCTTGTTACTTCTCGAGTACTCTGGTTCGATATATCGGTATCAAGGGTGCTCTGATCTTTGGAACGTAAGTCTCCTCACGCGAACGTGCTCGTGAACATTGCTGACGAGAGTTAGTCTCGGTTATGCACCTTATGCAGCAGGCCTTTACACCAACAACCGCTTCGGAACAGAATGGCTCGTCCTCGTCGGTGCTGCTCTCTGTGGTATCTCAGCTGGTGTCTTCTGGATGGCCGAAGCCGCTATCGCCATCGCATATCCCGAGCCTTGGAACCGCGGTAAAGCTCTAGGTTACTGGCTCACTTACCGTCTATCTGGTCAGATCCTCGGTGGCGCCATCAATCTTGGTCTTAATGCCGACCGCAACGAGGCTGGAAAGGTCTCTTACACTGTTTATCTTATCTTCATTGCTCTCCAAGCTGTTGGTCCTTTCGTTGCTCTGTTGCTCAGCAAGCCGCATCAGGTTCAGAGGAAGGATGGCGTCACCGTCAAGTTGGAGATTGACAAGCTTCCTAGCTTCGAGCTGAAGGAGACCGCCAGGCTCTTCTTTACCAAGAAGTTCCTTCTGGTCGTTCTGTTCATCGGACAGGCTGTCTTTGCGGAAGCCGTATTCTTCACTTATCTTTCCTGTAAGACTCCCCGGTCTAATCTCACACATGATACTAACCGATGCAGTATGGTTTACTGTCCGATCCCGTGCTCTTGGCTCTTTTTTGGGTGGTATCGTTGCCGTCACCGCTGGTAATGTTCTGGGTGTAAGTCTTTCAAATGCCCATCATGTCTCTATTGCTCACAGTATCTCCATAGGTCTGGCTCGACCGTACCAAGGTTTCTCTGCGATTCCGCACCAGATCTTCCTTCGCCTTCCTTGCTACTCTTCAAGGAGCCTGCTGGATCTGGGCCACAGTGTTGGTTACCAGGTTCCGTGAGACAAGACCAACCTACGATTGGGTTGATTCGGGATTCGGCCATTCCTTCGCCATCTTCTTGCTCCTCACCCTGTCATTCCAGCTAAACTACCTCTTCCTGTGAGTAACCATGAACGCACGTAACATGGCCATGATCTAATTATTCCCTAGCTACTTCATTATTCATCATCTCGCCGATACTCAAGACGAAGTAATTCGATTCTCTGCCCTTCTCCGAGGTACTGAATCCGCCTGGCAAGCCGTCAGCTACGGCATTACTTCCTTGCCTCTCTTCGCTGAGGTTGGTGGTGTTTACTTTAACTTCGCACTTTGGGGTCTTTCTATCTTCCCTGCTTGGCTGGTTCTCAAGGATTTCGGCTCTCGTCCTGCTGCTTCTCTTGAGAGCCCCATTCAGGAGGTTGATAGCCAGAACTATGGGTCCAACTCCGGCGAGGACAGCGATATCAAGAAGCACTAGACACTGACGGGCTTATTCATGGAATCTGTCGAGGTATCGGAGAGAAAATGGCTTAAAAGTGTCGTGAGATTAGATGTTATATATATATA